TCAAGATCCATTAAAAGCTCCATTACTCAATATAGTGTATTTTTTTGCTTAAGGATAGACACAGAGATCAGTAGGTAGGACCAAAAATATATCCATATACACGTGTTCAGTTGATCTCTAACAAATGTGTCAAGGTAATTTAATGGAGAAATGATGATATTTTCAACAAATGGTGCTATAGCAATCACATATTCATATGGTAAAACTGGAATCCCAAGTCTTACTTTATACCTTATATGAAAATCAACTAAAAGTGGACCACATCTTCATGTAAAAACTAAAACTATAACTTTCTTGTGGGGACAGAAGGGATGCTGGTGACTAAGCCCAGGGCCTTGCACATGCTAAGCATGCACTCTACCATGAAACTATACCTCCAGTTGGTATAGTTTCATGAAGAAACACTGAAGACAACATTTGCCACCTTGGAATAGGCAAAATCTCTAAGATAGGACATGAAAGCACAAATCATAAAAAGTTTAATAAACTACATTTCATCAGAATTAAAAGACATCACTTAAAAATAAGTAAGCAAGGGCCAGGGATGCAACTGTTGCTCAACATGCTTGAACACCTGGGTTGAACCCCCAGTAAAAGAAAGGAAGGAAGGAAGGAAGGAAGGAAGGAAGGAAGGAGGGAGGGAGGGAAGGAAGGAAGGAAGGAAGGAAAGAAATAAGCCACAAACTAGGAGAAAATATTAATGAAATATACATTTGACAGAGAGTTGTATACAGAATATATAAAAAATTCATAACTCAAAAAATTTTTAAATAGGTAAAACATTTGTTTAGTCACTTCACACAAAAAGATATTCATATGGCTAAAACTTTAAAAATTGACAATACCAAGTATTGATAGAATGTAGAACAACATTACATTACTACTACATTACTGGTGGGAATATAAAATGATACATCCATTTTGGAAAGTAGTTTAGTGATTTCTTTCTTTTTCCCCCAGATTTAAAATATAACTAAAAAGTAAAATTGAATAAACTTAAGGTACATAATCTGATAATCTGATATGTACTGTGAAATGATTACCACAATCAAGCTAAATAACATATTACCTCACATAGTAGCCTCTTTTGATGTGTAAGAATAATACTGTCCTAGCAAATTTGTTCTAGCAAACTTCCAGTATACAACACATTATTATTAATTATGGTATATTAAATCTCCTAAATGTATTCATCTCATAACTGAAAGCTTGTTCTCTTTGGCAATCATCTTTCTGTTACCCTACTCCCAGACCTCTGGGAGATAGATCTATACAAAGAATTCATAATTCCAACAATAAGTGTTGGGGAGAATGTGGGGGAAAAGGCATAGTCATACATTGCTGGTGGGACTGCAAATTAGTGTAGCCAATCTGGAAAGCAGTATGGAGAGTCCTTAGAAAATTTGGAATGGAACCATCATTTGACCCAGCTATCCCATTCCTTGGTCTATACCCAAAGGACTTAAAAAACAGCATACTACAGTAATGCCGCCACAAAAATGTTCATAGCAGCACAACACACAAGAGCCAAACTGTGGAATCAACCAAGATGCCCATCAATGGATGAATGAATACAGAAACTGTGATATATATTACACAATGGAATATTACTCATCATTAAAAGAGAATAAATTACAGCACTTGCAGGTAAATGGATGAAGTTGGAGAATATTACGCTAAGTGAAGAAAGTCAATCCCGAAAAACCGAAGGCTAAATGTTTTCTCTGATTAGTGGATGCTGATCTATGATGGGGGTGCATGGGAAGAATGGAGGAACTTTGGATTGGGCAAAGGGGAGGGAGGGGAGCGATTATGAGGGTAGGAAAGATGATGGAATGAGATGGACATCATTACCCTAGGTACATGTATGATTGCACAAATGGTGCGTCTCTACACTGTGTACAACCAGAGAATTGAAATGTTGTGCTCCATTTGTGTACAATGAATTGTAATGCAGTCTGCTAACATGTACAACTAAGTAGAACAAATAAAAAAAATTGTGCTCCATTTGTGTCTAATGAATAAAAGAGCATTCTGCTGTCATGTATAAATGAATAGAATAAATAAATAATTCATAATTCAAAAAATTTTTAAATAGGTAAAACATTTGTTTAGTCACTTCACACAAAAAGATATTCATATGGCTAAAATTTTAAAAACTGTCAATACCAAGTATTGATAGGATGTAGAACAACATGAACTCTAATATATATATTACTGGTGGGAATATAAAATTATACATCCATTTTGGAAAATAGTTTAGTGATTTCTTTCTTTTTTTTCCAGCTTTAAAATATAACTGAAAAATAAAATTGAATAAATTTAAGGTACCTAATCTGTACTTTCTGTTTCTATGAGTTTAACTTTTTTAGATTGTACATATAAAAGAGATTGTGGTATTTTTCTTTATGCATCTGGCTTATGTCATTAGTATAATGTCCTCCCAGTTCATCCATGTTATCACAAATGGCAGGATTTCCTTGTTTTTAAAGGTAGAATAATATTCCACTGTGTAAATATAACACATTTTTTTTAATCCACTCAACTGTCAACACAAACTTAGTTATTTCTATGCTTTGGCTATTGTGGATAATGCTGCAATGAACATAGAAATGCAAATATCCCTTTGAGTTAGTGATTGTATTTTCTTTTAATATATATTCAAAGTAATTAAATGATTACTGGATTATATGGTATTTCTATCTAATCTTTTTTCGCTTTTTCTAAAACATTTATTATGAAAAGTTTGGGAGTTTTGTTACAATGGAGGCCCACACACTCACTAAGAGGTGGAACCATGAATATTTTACCATCCTGGCTCATTGTCCCTCTACCCGTCTCTGTCTCTCTCCCATCAGAGTTAATTTTAACCTTGATGTCCTAAAACCACATCTCACAAGTTCTTCTTGCTAGTCAGTTGTGAATTTCTTTTACCACAGGGGTTTTCAGATAGCAGAACTCTCACAAGTAGGAAGGAATTTTATATTCATTTTTATATTTTTATGGACTTTATAATTTTATTTAATTTTAAGTTTTGCTTATAATTTGTCAGTCCATTTGGAGTTTATTTGGGATCGTGGTGCAAGACAAGGGTCTTGCTCTGGTGTTTTTGTCTCCCATGTAGCTCTATCCTCAAAAGGTTTGTTGAATCACGCATCCTTTCCTATGGGGCTGGTCACTTTTTACGAACAATGCTGTTGTTTCATAAATGCCTCGGTGCTTTCAAGAAGTCTCTTCTGTTCACTTATTTGTTGACTTACTTTGCTACCACCTCACTTTCTTTTTTTCAATATTTATTTATTTTTTGTTTTTTTAGGTAGACACAATATCTTTATTTATTTTTATGTGGTGCCATATAACCCAGTGCCTCACGCATGCCAGGCCAACGTGCTACCACTTGAGCCACATCCCCAGCCCCTACCACCTCACTTTCACAATTTCATTTTATAATGCATTTTATTTATTTATTTATTTCATTACAATCCTTATTACACATATAGAGCACTATTTTTCGTATCTCTGTACATACAGTATGTTCACACCAACTTATGCCATTACACATGTACTCTTTTTTTTTGCATTACAATTCTTAATACACATATATACCACAATTTTTAATATCTCTGTTTGTATATAAGGTATGTTGGCCCCAAATTCAAATCTTCATACATGTATTTTGTATAAGGATGACATCACATTCCACCACCCTTGTTAATCCCCTTCCTCCTCCCTTTCCCTCCCACCCCTCTTCCCTATCTAGAATTAATTTAATCCTCCCATGCTCTCCCTCTTACCCCACTATGAGCCACCCCCCCTTATATCAGAGAAAATATTTGGCATTTTTTTGGGGGGGATTGGCTAACTTCACTTAGCATTATCTTCTCCAACGCCATCCATTTACCTGCAAATGCCATGATTTTTTTCTTTTTTAGTGCTGTGTAATCTATTTAATTTCTTAAGGAACCTCCATACTGTTTCCTATAATGAAGTAATTGCATATTAGATTAAAAATCATATGACTCAGATATTTTACTCCCAGAAACTTTTCCAGGGGAAATAAAAATACAGGTCCACATAAAGCTGGCCTATGAATGTCCAATTTATAATGGTCAAAAACTAGTAATATGAATTAAGTATACATCAATAAGTGAATGCACAAATTACAGTATATTCACACAACAGAATACTATTTGACAATAAAAAGAAATGAACAATGGAAACAACAATATAAAAGAATCTCAAAACCATGTTGAGTGAAAAAAGCCAGTTTACTCTATGATCTCATTTATGTGAAATGCTAGAATAAATAAAAATAATATATACAATGTCAAAGAGTAGATCAATGTTTGCCTGAAGGAATTTGACTGCAAAGTGGAATCAAAGAGTTTTAGAATCACAGAAATGTTCCATTATCTTAGTCATGTTTTTTTTTTTAATTTTTGAATATATATATTAGTTTTAGGTGGACATAATATCTTTATTTTTATGTGGTGCTGAGGATTGAACCCAGTGCCTCATGCATGCTATGGCAAGCACTCTACCACTGAGCCACAACCCCAGCCCCCTTAGCCATAGTTTTTATAAAGATAAATAAATAGGTGTATACACACATACACATATAATTGTTAATATTATATGAACTTACACTTATAATGGTTCAGTATATGTAAATTATAACTCAATAAAATTGAGTTAAAAATTAAATAATTAACCCAGTTAAGAGTAAGATTTAGGGGCTGGGGATGTAGCTCAGTTGGTAGAGTGTTTGCCTCAGCATGCACAAGGCCCTAGGTTGGATCCTTAGCACCATATACACACACAAAGAGTAAGACTTAATAAAACACTAATTTTTCTGCTTAGCAACTTTACATGTAGTCTTATAAAACTTGGAATTTCCTTCATTTTAGCATGAGTGTTTTACCTTGAAGCAGTATGTTTCTTGCTTCTTGATTTGTGCTGCTTTTCCGCATTAATTTTTAAAATCTAGCAAACTAGCTTACCAATATAATTCTTTGACACAGCAACCTCCCTGACTTCAATGTGAACAGACCCTCTTGGTATTTGCACCACTTCCATGTAACCTGGAACATAGAAGATAGCCAATTATAAGTACCTGCAGCCAGAAAATGAATGTTAGTAACATTCAATAATAACAGTTCTTAATTTTTCCATTATTATTTCTTTGACTCTGTACTTTATAAATTATGAAATATTGGCAAATTTCCTTTGGGTTCACAAATTCATAAATAAATTTTATAGAAAAAGTATTGATTTTTCTCAAAATTAGAGATTTTTTAAAGTCTCAACAAGTATAATATCTTTTTTTTCTCAACACATGACTTTCATCAATACTCTGTGGGTTTTCACACTTTAAAGAAATATGGTAGGCCTGGGATTGTAGCTCAGTGGTAGAGTGCTTGCCTCGCATGTGTGAGGCACTGAGTTCAATCCTCAGCACCACATAAAAATAAATACATAAAATAAAGGTATCGTGTCTATCTACAACTAAAAATATTTAAAAAAAGAAAGAAAGAAACATGGTAAACTGTCACAGTGGCACATTCCTGTGGTTCCAGCTACTCAAGAGGTAGGAGGATTGCTTGAGCCCAGGAGTTTGAGGCCAGCCTGGGTAACAGTGAGACTCCATCTCAAAATAACAATAATAACAACAAAAATATTAATTCTAGGTCTGGGCATCAATCAATGGTGGAGTGCTTGCCTTTCATTCAACCCCCAGCACCACAAAAAAAGAAAAGAAAGAAATATGGCTAAATGGAGTCATATAGAAAATAACATTTCCTTAAAACATCTTATATAAATATATGAATATCATTTTTACTTATTTTTATTTTTAAAATATCTCACATGTTTATTGGTGCATTATAATTATACATAATAGTGGGATTATTACATATTCATATATGTACACAATGTAACAACATGATGGAATCAATATTGTTACCCAGTATCTCTCCTTTCTTTCCCTCTCCTCCTCCCTCCCTTTGGATCCCTTTCCTCCACTCCACTGGTCTCTCTTCTGTTTTACATGAAGTCACATTTAATACTTAAGTGACTAAAAACACTATCTGCCTAAATAAAGAAAATTAAAAATTAAGTGGGAGGAAAAACCAAGTGTTCGGGCTGTTCCAAGTATACCAGAGGAGGAATTCTATCTCTATACACTCACCTCCTCTGGGCAAGGAGTCATTGAAGAACCCTTCAATGGCATCACATGTGCTTCCATCCCCTCCACAAACACGACATCTATCTTCCCTAGCATCAGATCCCAAAATATTATCACAACCTACATGCTGAAAATAGAGAAGAATATTTAGTGCATAAAAAAATAGAAATTCTTGGAACCATAACTAATATATATATATAACTGACTGATTTACTAGTTTTTCCAGTAAAGAAAATCAAATAGGAAATACTTTTCCATTTACTTTTACTCACCAATAATTACCAACTAACATTTCTCAACATCTAGGTTTAAGGAAAAAAAATTTGATTCCCTAAAAATGTATGCCTATATTTCTAACTTAGATCTCTCCTTCACTTGTAGATATCATGCTTTAATTCTTAAAATATTATTATAATTTATTAGCAACAGGGTCTTGTACTCTCAACCAAGAAATCTAAAAACTAAGAAAAAATGACTATGATCCTCTATAGGGTTATAACAGCAAGAGTCCTGACTGAGAATATGTTTTGTTCTACTTAATCCAATTATTAGTGTTGAAGATTTGTTGTGGAAGTCACATTTGGGTAAATCTTTAAAAATAAGTATTGGTGAATGAAATTGCCATAAACAAAAAGAAGATGTAGCATACAATTTAAGAAGCTGAAATACCACATTTAAATTTTGCATTTATTTATAAAAATGTGGATTTAAAATATATATTTGGTATATATTTAGGTGCTTAAATTTGTACATTTGCCATCAGCCATTGATATCATACATGTAATTCCTGAAGTTTGTATTGTCACAAAACCAACTTTCTTCTTCAAGGAAATAAAGTACCCTTGCACACACAGATAAGTATACACACACACACACACACACACACACACAATGAATCATTGAATACATTTGGAGGCAAGTAACCAGAAGGATAGGAGCTTTTCCAAGAAATTATGAGATTAAGCAAAATAGACAATACTTTTATCTCTTCTCAGTTTGTATCACTTAGTTATGTGTTTCTCTTTAAAGTAAAACAAAACCAAACAAGAATTTTAAAAAGTATGAGAACAGTAGGTTTTGTGGCTTTTGTTATTATGACAAGATTCACACACAAGTTTAAGAAACATAGTTTGGATTTACTTCTACAGTTTCCAAGTAGTTTGACTGATATTCTTAAGTAAATGCTTTAATAATATAAACACTAACACTATAATGAAAACCATTGTAAATGCTTCAAAAGGAGATAAAGTAGGAGGAGCATGGCTATTTCTCACTTTGAAGAAGAATTATGATACAAAATATATAAAATCTTCCAATGAGAACATATGGTAGCCATATGAATGAGTTGAATTTTTGTTACCTCTCTTTTTCTGTCATTTTGTTTGTAAACAGAACAGAAGAATAATGGAAATTAAAGTTCAAAACATTTCAGACCCCTGGCAATTGCTATAAACATAACTAGAATACCAGAATAAATTTCACTTTCATGGTACTTAAATATGAATGGGTCATTCTACAAGCTAAATATGTTGTCATCCTTTATTGGAAATTGAATTTCCCTAAAATGTGCTTTTTTAAATGGAACATAGAATTAAATAGGAGCTACTAACTAAGAAAAAGAAAGGTATCAAAAATCCCAACAAAGAAGAGTAAAATCTGAGCAACCTTGCACTCTCCATTGATACAGATATCCAGTGAGTCCGCATTGCATTGGGTCCCATCAATCACTGCAGGGGCACGCTCAGTGTAGAAATTGTAACCTTCAGCCAAGCAGTTTAATGCACAAGGTTTTACCCCACCTGGAGAAATAAATAAAGGAGAAAAAAATGGAGTGGATCTCCCAATGAATGGTGATTCAGTATTATCAATTGCAAATTCATAGTTCACATAAGCACTATTCCCTGACTATACACCTAGATATGAAAGTCTCTCTCTCTCTCTCTCTCTCTCTCTCTCTCTCTCTCTCTCTCTCTCTCTCTCTCTCTCTCTCTCTCTCTCTCTCTCTCTCTCTCTCTCTCAGTTCTGGGAATCAAATATAATGTATTGCACATGCCAGGCAAGCATTATTTCTTCTTTTATAAAAAATTCATGTTTATTTTCATTGATTATGCAACTTAAAGGACGACTTGCTGAGAAGGTTTAACATTTTCAGGTACTTTCATTATATTTTTACAATATATTTTCGGTCAAAAAAGAATCACAGTGGAAGTACTTGAATGTCTAAAACATGTATAGAAGAAAAACAATGTGAAAATACTAAATAAATAAAGTGTAAAAAGTCTTGAAACAGGGGCTAGGGTTGTGGCTCAGTGGTAGAGCTCTCGCCTAGCATGTGTGAGGCACTGGGTTCGATCCTCAGCACCACATAAAAATACAGAAAAACAAAATAAAGGTATCGTGTCCATCTACAACTAAAAAAGAAATTCTTAAAAAAGAGAGAGAGAATCTTGAAGCAAAGAACAAATAAGAATTTGTATAACAAATAAGAATTTCGGTTACATATGCTTCTGAAGCTAATACAAAAACACTGCCAGGATATGGTAGTTATAAAACAAAACTAAGTTTGTACCTGTCTTATTTTATCACACTTAATGAGCTTGGCTTTAGCATAGAGATAAATGTTTGTGAGATTAGCAATTCAAAGATAAAAGTAATTATAGGGCTGGGGTTGTGGCTCAGTGGCAGAGCACTTGCTTCATATATGTGAGGCACTGGGTTTGATCCTCAGCACCATGTAAAAATAAACAAACAAAACAAAGATACTTTTTTTAAAAAGTAACTATAGAATTAAATTTGAATAATTATTATGTGATAAATAATTAGACAAATCTGAAATAACAGTAAAACAATATCTAATGCTATTTGGTGAACAAATACATTTAATAACTTGAGCATTTTCATTTTAACATAGAAATTTGTATTTTTTAATGGTGAAGTTAAAAATAGGCAAAATAATAGCAATTAACAAACAGTACATATTATGGCTTTACAGTATATCAGAAAATAGAAACAGATGTGGACTTATTGTAATGAAAACAGCACATGGTAATGCTAGTATTTACAAATGTGTAATTATTGCCAGAAATTATAATGTAAGAATATTTTCTTTAAAATCTTTACTTCATGAAATTTAAAACATTTTGGCCTTATTATAGGTAGAATGACAAATTCTCTTTGAAATAAAAAAGACTACTTCTAATAAAATAATAACAGCAGAAATGAAATCTTAAGCACAGGTCTCAGTGAATTTCTTAGAAACCAGGTTGCTCCCAGGTGGAAGCATGTAAACTAAGGGAGGAGACTGAGTGGTGCAGTCAAGAATAAAACAGAGCATACATTCCACTAGGAGATAGCTCTTACAATTAAAATGCCAAGCAAAAAGATGTCCCAGTGTTATCAGACACTGTTTCTTCAAGAGAAGATGAAACCCTAGATCTTTTCAATGTAAACTCTTCTGAATTTTAACTGTTGGCAAAACTGGCTCTTAAACTATCAGTTTATAACCTCTGATCTGAGTCCATGTTTTCTTTCATCTCCAGTGGAAGCTTCTACATAACTTATAATGTTATTTTTAGGCTTAGGTTAATTATACATTTTGCTATACTGGTCACAGAAACAACAAACAGTAAATACAATAATTTCTTCCTGAAATGATAGTCAAACTATATATATTTATTTTATAAGATTCTTATCAATAAAATTTCTCTGCATTTTCATGAATGTTCATTACTAACTGATATAGTTCTTTTATCATTGTTAATTATTATAATTTGGAATTTACTGCAGCATTTTATATGTCAAACTTTAAAAAGAGAACTTGGCATTTTTGTTTACTCAACTTTAACATATTTGACAGGAAGGACATATAAATATTCTGGTTGTATCCCTTAGCCAACTACGTCATAAAATAAGAATAAATTTCTTCTTTGCTTATTGCTTTTGATGTGTTCACCTTTGTTCTGACATAATGAGCTTTTAGAAGAGATGCTGCTGGGTGACAACAGTAAGATGGACAAACAGGAACACTCTAACATCTTTTACAGAAGCATTGATTTTTATAACTACCTGTAGATGAGAGTACCTTTGTGGGAGTCTAAGAATACAGTGGAGAAGTTCCAGCATACCATTAGAACAAAAATTCCAAAAACAGGTACACCGAAGGGGTTTAAGAATAGTTTCACCCTGATTGCATCTCACCTCCCTCAAAGTAGCATGGCTCAGTGAAAAGAGAGACCACTCAGCTCATGATTTCTCCCACAGGAAAAAGACAAAAGAGTGATCACTAGGTTCCCCTGCTCTGTGGGATACTTCCAGGAGTCCCACTTCCTTCTCATTCCACCCAGAATACTGAGGTGATAGGCATGGATGAACTGGAAGCAGAGAAGAGAGGCATAACTAACTACTCCATTGACTCTATCAGAAAGTCCATGCATACCTATAAACTCTTCCACAAATGGCCTTTGGGCACCCCCAAAACTCTGCCTATCTACTGCCCATTCCCTGAGGCCAGCAGTCAAAGCATGACCTCATAGACGGTGAGTGCAAGGGCCTAACAAGGACGTCTGGCTCAGCTTTATGGGACTCAACAAAGGCACACAACTTAGGCATTTTAATGGGCACCACCCTAGAGAAAATAAACAAGAGGCTCTTTAGCATTAGCTTTGTGGGATCCAGAGCGAGCATACCATCTTAAAAATTTTTCCTCAAGAGGAAAAAAGAGCTGTAGAGTAGATATGATGATAGTCAAGTCCTGATGGAGCTCAGAATTCCTAACTGGGCTATTTGGAAAAGATGCATCATTCCAGGATCCAGTCAGTAAAGACTACAGGAGGTAAGTTCTTCAGATGTGAAGACACAAGACTTCAAAAAACAAGTAAATGCAAAAAATATGATACCACCAAAGGAACACAATAATAGTCCAGTAACTAACCATAAAGAAATGGAGATTTGTAAATGGTTTGTCAAAGAATTAAAGATAATTGTTTGGGTTGGAAGTGTACTCGGTTAGTAGAGCATGAACTTAGAGTGCATGAGGCCTTGGGTTCAATTCCCAGCAGCATGGTGGTGGTGGTGGTGGGGGGGAGTTTAAAGAAGCTACAAGACAGCAGATGGACAATTCACTGAAATTAGAAAATAAGCAATACATGAAAACAATGAGAAGTTTAAACAACAGTAACATTCACATTATGGGAATCCTGATAGGAGAAAAGAGAGAAAAGAAAAAAGAAAGATTATGTAAAGAAATAATAGCTGAAAATCCCCAAATATAAGAAGAGAAATGGACATCCAGGTACCTGAAGTATAAAGTTTCCCAATAAGGTTCAACCAAAGATTTCACAAAGATAAAATCAAACTATCAAAAATCAAGGAAAATGTCAGGCATGATGGTACACAACTGTAATCCTTGTGACTCTGGAGGCTGAATCAGGAGGACTGTAAGTTCAAGGTCAGCCTCAGCAACTTAGTGAGACACTGTCTCAAAGTATAAAATAAAAAGGACTGGGAATGGAGCTCAATGGTAAAGTGCCAATGGGTTCAATTCCCCAGTACCAAGTAAATAAAGAAAAGAAATGTTGAAAGAAACAAGAAAAAAAAAAAGTTCACCACATACAAAGGAACTCCAAAGGTCTACTAAAAGATTTCTCTGCAATCCTTGCAGGCCAGCAGAGAATAGGATGGTACGTTCATTCGGCTGAAAGAAAAAACTGCCAACCAAGAATACTTTACCTGACAAAGCTGTCCTTCAGAAATGAAGGAGAGATAAAGATTTTTCCAGACAAACAAAAGCTGAAGGAGTTCATCACCAATAGACCTGCTATACAAGAAATGCTAAAGGGAGTTCTTCAAGCTGAAATGAAAGGATGCTAATTAGTAACATAAAAACACATGAAAGAATAAAATTCACTGGTAAATGTAAGTATATAGTAAAATTCAGAATATTCTAAATATTCTCATGGTGGTAAGTAAATCACAACTCTAGTATGAAGGCTAAAACACAAAAAATACTAAAAATAACTATAGCTACAATAATTTGTTAAAGGATACACAACATAAAAAGTTTTAAAATGTGACATCAAAACCATAAAACAAGTAAAAGTATAATTTTATATATGGTTATAACTATAAGAGGCTTCATGTAAATCTCATGGTAACCACAATGAAGCTAAAATCTTAGTAGGTACACAAAAGAGAAACAGAAAGCATCAAAGCATACAACTTATCAATCCATACAACACATCAATTCAATAAAGATAGCAAGAGAAGAAAAAAGATCTAAAGGACCTATAAAATAGCCCCCTAAAAAACAAAACTTACTATTGACAAAATGGCAATAGTAAGTCCTTACCTACCAATATTAATTTTAAATATGAACATTAAATTCTGCAATCAAGACATAGAGTGTCTGAAAGGATAAAAATCAAGACCCAACTTCACACTGCCTACAAGTGATAGACCTCACATTTAAGTATACACATATACACATACACATATAATAAAAGTGAAGAGATGGGAAAAGATATTGCCTGAAAACAATGAGGAAAGCATAGTCTCTTTCCTAAGAGATGTTCACATGCAAAAAAGTCAGATTTGATCCTTATTATACACCTTACACAAAAACTATCTCAAAATAGAATGAGAGTCCAATATCCAAAACATATAAGGAACTGATACAACTCAACAATAAAACAATAATAGTAAAAGAAGAAATGACACAATTGGTAAAGAGCCTGAGCAGACATTTTTCCAAGGAAGACATGCATATGCTAAGTAGGTACATCAAGTGTAAAACCTTTCCCTG